ATGTAGTGCCTACTAAGGCTGGCGTCACACTACAAGAAAATCATGCTGATTTTTGCCCTTCCGACAATCTTAATGAAGTCCAGATTATCGTGATGGCTCTAACGATAATCATAGCAGATATTCCTGCTGTGGGTGGTGAGTTAAGAGTGATCTAGTCGGCTCGGAAGGACGTCGRGACCGCTCCAACCTCAAATCGGGGATATTCAACATGTTTGATTTTTTGGCCCGATATCAGTGTGTGTAGTGTTCACCCGAGCTCTCAGCCTGTGAATGACATTTGTAGCCAGTCAGAAAGTGAGGTGATGTTAAACACGGAGGGGAATCCAAATACAGAAGAAAAAAATACTGTCATGACTCATCAGAAAGTCTGCTGGATGTTACAAGTCCTATGGAATTGTTTTTCCTCTGGTAAAAATAGTCCACAAACGATCAACATTGTTTCTTCCTCGTTGCAAATGTTTATTTACTCTGAACTCATGTCTCTCTGGCGGTCACGTGAGATTTTTCCTCTGAAATCTGAATTCTCCCGAGATTTCAGGAAGTCTCGCGTGACTTAATATTTGGCACCTGAATGTTCATGAATGAAATATCTTTTCGTGTCTGGTGTGTTGTCTCTTGCCGTGTGACTGTACACTACACACACTAAATGACAAAACCTGGTAGATCCATGATTTTCTATCCTCACGTGTGGGCTCTCAGTCTTTAAAAATCGGCCAACTTTTTTAAAATTTTGTAGTGTGACTCARCCTTAATGTGATGTAGGACTGTGTCTGCATCTTGATAGGAACTGCTTCTGGCATTATAACAAAGACTTTGGGGTGAAAGGGTGAAAAAAAGCCATATACTGTACATGGTTTTCATTTCTGGACTGTTTTTTTCATTTATTTACAAAAATATCAAAAAGTTTCACTGTAAGTAGTTTATATACTGTCTAAATTCATATTTTTGATGCCAAATCATTTTGTTATGTACATTTGTTGGGATTTTTTTCCTTAGTAAACCTCAANTTTTTTCTTCACTCTGCACTCTTTTAATTCAAGGTAGGATTTACTWTKTTTTTAATGCTGTACATAGATGGTTTTGCTTTTATGAATGAAAGAAAAACAAATAGACATCTTTTAATATATTTTGACAAGTCAAAATACCTATTTAAGCTAGCTCTTAATTATATTCTGACTAGTATAAATAACATCAGATTTATCATTAAGTTGTATGGAGACTCCAGTTCAAGATATCTTAAACGTATCTTTAGAAATGAGATAGGCTATATAAGATTAAATTAATGCAAACTGCAGACTTTTTCATGTTCTGTAAATTGTACAGTATTCAAAACAAAGCTGTTGCTGTTGATCATTCTGTTTTCATAAGCCCCGCCCCCGAGGTCAGTTCTCTAGGGAAAACACTGGAAAGTTCTAAAAAGGTTTCTGAAGATGTTTTTGATAATACAATTGGCTGACTGTTAGTAACTGAGTCTAAAATGTTTGCATCTCTTTAATCAGATGTCATACATTATACAGTCATATGAAAAAGTTTGGGCAGCCTTGTTAATTTTCCTGATTTACCTTTATAAATCATTGATTGTTTGGATAAAAAAATCAGTTAATATATCATATAGGGGACAAACACAGTGATATTTGAGAAGTGAAATGAAGTTTTATGATTTACAGAAAGTGTGCAATAATTGGTTAAACAAAATTAGGCAGGTGCATAAATTTGGGCACTGTTGCAGTTTTATTGGTTTCAAAACCTTTAGAACTAATTATTGGAACTTAAATTTGGTTTGGTAACTTCAGTGACCCTTGACCTCCATAGGTGACTCCAATTATGAGAAAGGGCATGTAAGGGAGGCAATTGTAGATTTTTCTCCTCTTTGCATCTTCTCTGAAGAGTYGCAGCATGGGAGTCTCAAAATAACTTTCAAATGAGCTGAAAACAAAGATTGTTCACCATCATGGTTTAGGGCACATGTGTCAAACACAAGGCCCGCGGGCAAAAGTGGCCTGCGGGTGACTCCCGTGTGGCCCGCCAGGTGGGGTACCCCCACCCCCCTTTTTTTTTTTTATTTATTTTTTTTAACTTAACATGAAATTTGTTTCTTATTTCAATGGTAAAC